TAACATAATATCTTTAACTTATTTTTAAAGTGCATGTTAGTTAAAATATTAAACTATTACCATTTTTGTTATGTCTTTTGTTCGTTTGATTCTGCAAGTGTACGGAACGTGCAAGCAATAAAGTGAAATTTTGAATCCAAGTATCATTTTAACACAGACTAATATTTACTATCAACTTTTATTCCAATTCTAGTTCAATTAATATGATGTAGTAACCAATTAACAAATTCAAGTCTTTATATTTTAAAGAGTTTACACTAACCCATCTAACCTAATTTGTGAAGAACTATTAAGATTAATTTGTTAGGATTCTTGATTTTACTTAGGTTGTTTAACATTCAACCATTCAAAATTCATTCAACCCCTTTTCATATGCGTTAAAAATCAGATTAACTAATTTTAAGTAGTAGTCTCTTTTGAGTAGAACTAACCATTTTGACATGCTCATATTTATTAATCTCTCTATGTAAATTCATACACATGTAAAACCATTTAATTTTAGGAATTCAATCAGGATAACATAACATATAAAAGTGTCCCTCGATCTCTTGCAACACCTATGTTATATATTGCAGTTTACTCACCCAACCAAGTGGACGATGTCTTTTTGGGCCCCTTTTTTTTTTTTTTTGTATGAAGAATATCATTATTTACCCTCTCAACCCCATCAAATCCCGTCAACGAAATGGAGTAAAAAGCCCTACAAAACATCAATTTTTGCCTATTTTCGAGGATCTAGCCAGATAGATTCGTAGCTGATGTCATAGAAGCTCCGTTTCACTTTTATTGGATGACTCAGCAGATATAAGTACTACCAGATTGATCGGATGTCTTAGCCAGAAAGCAAGACTTTCTTCTTGCCTTGTCCTAAGGTGGGAAAGTCACTCTAAAAGCGATGGTTCCAGTTAAAGCGTAGAACACAAGGAAATAGGCAAGCTCAACAAAGAATCAAGTCAGCCAAGTTGCCGTCCCTTTTTGCCTTCTTCTTATAATGATGTTGTAGAGGAAGCAGCCATTACACTAGAAGCAATTGATCACAAATCAATCAATTTGTGATGAAGCAATTGAAGCATTATACACGCGGCAAACAATGAACACATAATCAAGTTGCATGAAATCTTTGGAATTAAATAAATATTAAACCTAAACTACAACATTTATTTTAACGACAAATTATTTAGCCAATTATAATTAAAAAATTAAATAAGGATACATGAAAAACATCATCGGGTTTGATACGAAGAATAAAGAAAAGAATCCTAACGATTGTTGTTCCTTGACACCGAATTCCCTACAATGAATCGTCAATCTCCTCTTCAAAACTTGAATATCTCCCATCCAATTGTGTTCAACCTTCAAATCCCAAATTTATTATTCAATGTATTTGAATGTGTAATTATGGCTCAAGATTGTATTTCTAGCCTCCACTAAATTTGGAATGAAATATTCTAATTTATAGACCTAATTAATATCTAAAATAGAATTCTAAGATGATTGGGAATCATAATCTTAGTTCAAGTAGTATATCTCAAATTGTTGAAATTTAATCTTTCCTTGCGTGATTAGGTCTTTATTTCAATTTTAATTCAAATTGAGTCCTTAAATTTGTAACTGAGGTCCTTTAACTTTTCAAATATAATTTCTTGGTCCCCAACTTTCAAAATATGTCTAACTTTACTCTTTTTTTTTTTCTTTTTTTATCAATTATTGCTCATTTTCATCCGTTCTCGTCCTATCCCTAATTTTCTCCTAAAATAATAAAAAAGACACAAAAATTAAGTAACTAATTCATAAATTTACTCCTAAATGCTATTTTTGATGGTCGAGATAAGTGTAATATTCACACTTATCACACTTATCTCTCTTTTCAAATGAAAGGTTACCTACCTTGTAATTTGGCTTTTTATTACTGTATTTCTTTAGTTAATCTTACCATATGCGTCAGAACCATTTAAATTGACATTTAGTTTTGACTTTCATATTTTGATCTATTTGAAATGACGCCCCTGTCTCGACGAACTACTTTCACCAAAAATCAATTTTTGAGTCATATCAAATGACTTTATAAAATTTGATAGGGAAAATTGCAAGAGCGGTCCCAAACCTTTGGATTTTTTATAGACTTTACCTTAACCTTTTATTTATACCAGCATCGGTCCCAAAAAATCTATAAAAACCGTGAGTGGTGGGGAATTTTGAAAATGAGCAATTTGATGGCTGGTGAGGAAAAAAAGGTAGAATTGGGGAAGAAGGTGATAGTGGCTGGGTTTTTTTGGTTGATTTGATTTTGGGGAGGTGAGTCGGTGCTTGGCTAGGGTCGGGTGAAAAAGATGAAGGGCTGGGGGCAGGTTTCGCTTTTTATTTTTAGATTTTAATTAATTTATTTTAATTATTAATATGTCATTGACGAAAATGTCCCTATTTAAATTGGTCAAAAAATATTCAAAATTTCCATTTTTCAGGTCAACTAATGGAGCAACTCACAGTTTCCATTATTTTGGACTTCAAGTGCTAATTATTCAAAGTTTTGAGACGATTCAATTTGAAGCTTAAAGTAAAGTCTGCAAAAAAATTCAAAGGTTTGGAACCGCTATCGTAATTTTTTCCAATTTAATATAACGTTAAACTAATCAATTCAATTTGAACCGTGTAAGACAAAAGTCAGTAAACATTTGTTGCTACCTCTTAAAAATTCATATTTGCCCTTTCTCTTCGGCTATATTGAATAAAAGTGAAGAAGGGAAAATAATGAAATATGGGCAATTAGGTAAAAAAAAAATCGTCTTCCCACAAAGGTAGTAGGTAGTAAAAATGTATACCCTGCATATTTTTAATTTTATATTGATCATGTACACTAAAATCTATCAGAATCTGATAGATTAATTAAAAAAAGTTGTACCATACAAAGGCGAAATAACTTTATTCATTAGAAAGTGACACATGTTGATCAAAATATCATACGATCTAATTTGGATGTTTTTAGTATAACATCTTTAAGTCAAAATAATTATTTTATTAGTATTTAATAAAAATTATTATATGACTTTTTAAAGAAAAAGTTACACATCAACTTTAATAAAGGAAGTATCCAACTTTACACATTATGTTTTATTTTATTTTAATTTTTGAAAAAATTCATCTAATGGGTATTTATCTAAAGACTCATTATGCAAATATGCCAACAAAGAACGTGTAATTTAAAATATAAGAGTAAATTTCATATAATTATTGTCAAGCCACAACTATAACAGTATAAAACAAAAATTTACTAAACCCTCTCTCTTGAAAACTTAATATACCATAGTTTTGCTATAAATATAGTTTGATTGACAGCGTGTGATATGACCAATATTTTTGTCATTAATTTTAACAAAACTTAAAATAATCACACAAATTTTTTCACCTCATTGAATGTCAACAAAGTTGTACTTTTTCGATGTACAAATAGCATAATTCCAAACAATGACTCCTAGCTCATTGAAGTTAATATTTTACACAAGGACTCTCTTACATCATCTTATTTACAATACATAGGTTTGCTTGTGTTGAACATATAATTAACCTTATACAAGTGATTTTTACTGGGAGCAATTTACTCTGGATAGTGTTATTAGAAGTCGTGGTGTCTCGTTAATATCAAAATGTTACTGTTGTTCTCATACAGAAATGGAGGACATTGAACACCTATTTCATACTAGCGAAGCTGCAACTCATGTTTGGACTTATTTTGCCAACATTTTTGGAGCTCGAATTGTTTTTGCTACTTCAAGGAGTGCGGTACTTATTAATTGGTTGCACCAATTTGATGGTTCTTTGCAATTTCACCAACTTGCTCATCTAATCCTGTGCTAATTGCTTGGGAGCTTTGGCTTGCACACAATGATGCTAGATTTAATGAAGGTTTGGTCAATGGACATAAAATTTGCTCCAAAGTAAAACACTGGTTGGTTGAATTAAATCCATTTTTGTGTCCATCACGTGTTATTCCCTCTCGTCTTCATGCTACTCTCCATTGTCTTGGTATGACTCCAGCTCCTTTGACAACTAAGGCTCCTTTCCTTGTTCGTTGGTATCATCCCCCTTGTGATATTCTTAAACTTAACATTGATGGTGCTAGCCGTGGCAATCCTGGTAGAGCTAGCTGTGGTGGGGGTGCTCAGGGATTGGAAAGGAAAATTTGTTTTTGGCTTCTCCCATTCTCTTGGGTAGCCACTAACTCCATGGTGGAAATAATGGCTTTGAAATTGGGTTTGTATTATTGGTACCTTTTGGGGTTTTCAAAGGTATGGGTTGAAACCGATTCCCAACTAGTTTGTCATTGGTTTAATGGGATGGGTAAAATTCCTTGATCTCTTCAGCAAGTTTGGAATGACATTGTTGATGTGGCAGACCTCATTGATTTAAAAGTCATCCAAGTCTATAGAGAGGCAAATTCAGTTGCTGACTCTTTGGCTAAGTTGGGTACAGGTGGATGCTCTCGATTTTCTTACTATATTAGAGACTTCGCTAAGACTACGAAAGGTTGTTTAGTATTAGACTATTGTGGTTATCCTTCCTTTTGTTCTCATTGATTGTAATGTTTTGAGTTTTATTACTATTGCTATTTTTTATTATTATTATTATTATTATTATTATTATTATTATTATTATTATTATTATTATTATTATTATTATTATTATTCTTTAACATATCTGAAATGATAGTATTAATTTATAAATTATACTTTCAACAACAATAATAAATAAAATTTCAAATAGAAAACTAGTGAAGCTCATGCAAAATTTTATAGTAATTTACTATCAATGAGAGAATTACGTTCATCTAGTACTGAAAAATTTACAATTATATATATGTATATTTTAAATTGTTCGATTGAAAAGTCATGTCCCCTAAAAGTCCTGTAAATATATATACATACGAACCAAAATACACTATGAAAATTTTCATTGAGACTTTTCACGATGTTGGACAGACAATAGTAACAATGTCACCGAGGACATAGAGGGTGAATGAGAATGGGAATTGATGGTGCCATAAAATTGTTTAAATCATGCTGGTGCAACATATACATGAATACATGAAAATGTTGAACAAACTAGTGGATAGTTGATAAGTTAATAAAACTCGCGAGTAATAGTACGTGCATACTATATATTATAGCACACCTTATTCCATCAAAATGCATAGCATCATGAGCAGTCAGCCTTGGACTTTTCAATACTGACTGCTTATGATGTTATATCATTTTCATGAAATAAATTCTTCTGTGCTATAACCAATTATTTATCGAAAATTTCCTCCAAGAGCAGGAGAAGCCCAATAATCTGCTCCATTAAAGTCACTCCCAACATGAAGAGTGCAGGAGATGGGAACTAGGCACAATCCTCTACTCCTCAAGTCTTTTGGCTCTTCATGACAATCCTACAAAAGAATACAACAAAAATTAATTCGAAACTATCGAAAATGTTACTTGTATGTTTAGTAAATAATACTCGACTAGAAGCTGGACAAAATCATCAACAAAATTTTTCAATATTTTAGTACCTGCTCAGACGTTTGTTTCATCTTTATGCAGTTGTCATTCAACAGCTACAGAAGAGATTATAGAAAGCAGAGCAGAATTAGCAATTTTCCTAAATATATTTTTAGGGTAAAAGTTTTGCAGTTCTGAAAAAGTAATTCTTTCTGCAATTTCCCTTGTGGAAAGTGGAGATAATAAAAACATGACTTATTAAAGAAAAGGAATAAGCAAACTTTCCTAAATTCTTTTGAGATGGTAAATGGATCCAATAAAGCATACCTGCCCAGGGTCTTCAGGAAATAAGCAATTCTTCTCTCCTTGAAACTGAAAAAATAATTAATTATCATTACTAAAAAAGGCCTACTTAATTTAGTATTATCTTCATTAGCACATGCATTCTCATAGTACTGTTTTTCTCAGATATCCACAGCACATGTATAATTTCTTACAAACATAAACTGACAAACACACACTTATACATGTATTGGAAAATACTTCTTGTCTCCCCAGTTTTACAAATAGTATGGTTATCTGTCCTCGCCTTCAAACGCGAGTTTATGAGTCTCCGATCTATTTAAATCTCTGAACATGGGTCTTGACGTTATCACAAACATCAATATTGATGTTAAAATCGCACGCGATTTTTCAGTGAATTGGAGAGAAATTTAAGCGTTTTGATAGTTTCCCCCCTCCAATCTTAGTGACATGAAATCGCTTGTGATTCACCAGGGGCTCGTAAGCAAGATGTCTGTCTTAACCTTATCAATTGTAGCCTAAATGATGATTTCAATCATTTGGGGACCAAAATTTACAGATTTAAATAGGTTGAAGACATGAAACTTCGCTTTCGAAAGTTGAGGATTCGTAACTGCACCACGTTAAAGCACGACCTTAATTTTCCATTTACATATGTAGAGAGAGAGAGAGAGAGAGAGAGAGAGAGAGAGAGAGAGAGATTGTTACAGGGTACTGCTGCCTTAGGTTTCCTGATTTACTGCCCAAGTATGGCAAGCTTAGGGCCTGCATTCAAGGGGGAAAAGAAGGATCATTAAACTGTGTCTAATGTGCCATTACTAGTTCATCGGAGTTAGAAAAGTCACCTCAACTTGGCTCTGAAGGAATCTGATATATCCAATTGCTTCTAGCAACACTGAGGCTGTGTCAGTCTGCAGGATAATAAATAAATCAGAATACCTCAAAAATATTATTGTCTTTTACATGAGTTATGCTACATTATCATATTCATTTTACCATAATTGCATCAGATTAAATCTTGACAGAATTCCATTGGTAGTTGAGCCAAAAACATTTTCCAACAATCCAATCAAAAATTGCCAAATCATTCTGACGATGGGATTCTGATAAAATGAATCTATACAATTAGCATAACTCCTTTCCCATATCTTTTTTAGAATGTTACATATAGAGGCTGTTTTTGGAGACTAATTTATAGAATGTCAATAGGCAAAATTTCAATGGATTTTGGACAAAATGCCAAGTTAAATTAGTCCATTAAATTTTACCATCTCAGCACCTATAAGCTCATCTGTACAAGTAGCATTTTTGTATCATTTTTTATCCACCAAAAGCGATGTTTGTAAACGCATTAATAAATAAAACTAACTGTTTTCTTTAATCATGTAGAGTACCATCTCGTAACATTCGAGACCATTGAACATATTGAAAAATACACCATAGCAAGTCTTAAAGAAAGATGAAGGAGAAGAGGACCATCTAACTTGCAATGAATTTGTTTGTAGGATTTCTTAATAATTATGTCCTAATTCTTGTTATTAATTAGTGTGGGCAATTTTTTTTACAGTATTTACCTTGCCAAATGGGGAAACTAACTGGTGAAGGGCTGTTATTCGGTCTCCCAATTTCTCTTTTCTCACCTGCGTTTCAAAGTTCAACACCCATAAAGTGATCAATGACAACCTGTTCAAAGTAATCATTTCACTACAAACATGAATACTTATTTGGAATTCTCTTGTGTGGACTACACAAGAGATAGCAAAAGAATCAACTTCTCAAGAAAATGACAACAAAAAGAGACGACAATAATATTCCAAAATTGAAAAGTTTGAGAATCAAAACAAACTTAAGGAGAAGATACAAGTAGATCCATAGAAATAGTTGATTATGTATCCATCTAGATGAAATGTTTTTGATTAGGATGGTTAAGCATTTTTCTGAATATTCAATTGTAGACTCTTTTTTATTTGGTTGGAGTGAAATTTATTTATTTACTATGGTCTTTTGTACTATGATGTACCGCCTTATAAAATTTGAGGGATTAAATTATTTATTTACTATGGTCTTCATCCCCTCAAAATTTATATCAAATTAAAAGTTTTTACAACGATTTTTTTTTTTTCAACAAACTAATATCAGAACCCTAAAGATCCAGAAGCCACAAGAATAAGATGAGAGAAATAGTTGAGATTCAGCCATTTAAAATTTGATAAAACCTTCACACAGAGAACTCATAGAAAAAGAACAATGAACTACAGCAAGGGGGATTTGTTTTACATTGAATTATAATGTTTTAATTGGAAAAAGTATAAATGAAGGATCAAAATAACTAAGAATCAAAAAATAGCTCCAAAAGCGATAGGTGATTATATAGATTTAAATGGAAATGTTTTTATCTTCTCAAATTATCTATTTAAATCTACAATTTAGTATCTTTCCACAAAAGGAGGAGGATCAAGATGATAAAGATAAAAAAAATCGATAAAGGATGATAATATAATTAAATTTTCTTAATTATACCTTGAATGTGGACTGGGATGAAGAAGGTTGAATCCTGGCCTTCTTGGCTACCCCACCTGTGGCTGTGCTGTTGCACTTCCCAGAAGAAAAGATAATAAAAGTTCAAACCCACCTTTCAAATATGTAATTAACATGCTTTGAGATGATTAGACATTTATAATTTTAGCGTCTTTTCACAAAACCCTAAAATAAAATAAAATCAATTTTCGGGTACATACATCAGAAGAACGATCTGGTTGTGGATGCATCAGATCTGGCTTGTTAGAAAAATCCATCATGTTATTACTCAAAGCAGTGACACATGACTTCGGAGATGAAGCTGCCGGTATCATTTGAGACCAACCAGAAGTTGGTTTAGAAGCTTGAAACTCCAAATTTCCATGCCCATAAATATAATCACTTTTTGAGCTTAATTCTTGCTTCACATCAACAATTGCAGAGCCATTGGAAGTCTGGTGATTCAGCAGTTGTTCTATATATTCGACCTTCGCCTGCAAATAGCTAAAACTAGGCTTCTCTTCTTCACCAACCCATCCCCCTCTGCACCAACCAAAAGCTCAGAGTAATTATATGTAATTAATTATATAAAAATAATTATTTCTTGAACTATACATAGTGTTCGATTAGATAAGAAGGAAATATAAATTTCAATGATATTATGAACAAGAAAAATGAAATTCTTGATCTTTTTGGGTGCTTGAAATGGAAACTATATCCATTAATCAAACATCCACACGCGTACGTATAAGCATACATATGTGTAGAGAGAGAGAGAGAGAGAGAGGGAGAGAGAGAGTTACAGAAGTAGTTGGCTCCATGACTCAGGAAGCTCCTGGCTATCATTCCATGAAGAAAGAGATGGAGCGGTGTACTGAGGTACATAATTCACAGGCGGATTAATAAAACCGTGTGGCTGAAGAGTTGGAGGCCTCGTAGTATTATTCATCGTCCACGGCCAGTTGGGGCTGCCGGCGGCCACCATCTGTTGCACCGGTGAGCTCTGTACAACACCTTTATTCATAGCTTGTGTCTAAATGCAACAATCAAGATAATAATTATAGCTAGCCCCCTCTTGCCAATTTATTTCTTTCACTTTCTCTCACAAATTGACTTTTTTCTTTCTTTCTCTGTCACTTTACTTTTCTAAGAGCTCTTGAAGCTCCCAAAGAAGGCTTTGTAAAATCTTTGCAAGGTCTCCTGTAGTCTTGATTAAGGAGGGGAAAATAAGTAGAGAGAGAAAGAGAGACAATAATGAATTATGAGGTTTTGAGAACCTTTGTCTTTGTATTCTCTCTTCCCTTCTTTATTAGCTTTCCTTTTCCTCCTCTTTCTTTTTTTCTACGAATTTTCTTTTCTTTGCTTTTCTCTTACTTTTGCTTTATCACTAAAGTGGGCAATAAAGGTTCAACTAATTTTCCTCAACTAAAAAATAAGGAAACTAATGTCGAAGAGAAAAAGTGAACATTGCTATTCCAAGTTCTAACACTAGGTTTACCACGTTGTCTTGAAAGTTGCAAGTTAGAGCATTTCAAAACATCTCTTTATTTTTAAAGAGTATCTTGATCATGATAGAAATTATTTCTAAATTTAAAGAGTAAATTTTTTATACACTTTAACAAAAAAATTATTCTTATTATTTATTCTGTTGCATTTTTTCTTTGCTTTTCACGACATACTAAATATAGTATGACTAATTCAAGTAGTGTAACATTGAAACTCATAATTTATTATAAATACAATCTTTACAAAATACAAATAGAAAGTTAGTTTGACTCTCCAAATGTAGAGAAGTATTGTTATTTAGCACTATTGGCACCGAGCGTCATCATATGTGGCAGCAAGTGTATCAATTGGTAGATATCGCCTTAAAGTTGAAAAATACGTCATATTTAAGATGTCTTATCATCAATGTTCGAAAAAGTATAAAACGTGACTAGACATAAAGGTCAAGTTTCAAACATTATGGGCATACGTGTAAAAGAGCGTTTTCTTATTCTTAATATTATTTTAAATTTTTTGTTCCAAAAATCATTTAATAATTATAATAATGCATACCAAACATCTAATCTAAAATACTACATATACTTAATAATTCATATAATTAGTTAAATATCCAATTTTCAAGTATTTGAAATGTAAAAGTCATTTTTTACTTTTTTACAGATAAAGTTATTTAAAAGATTGAAACTAAAGTCAATTAAAAGGCTTTGAAAAAAATAAAAATAAAAAGTTAATAAAATCTACCTAGGCTTAACTTGTTGCGCATTTAGTGGTCAACTGTGTTTACGATCAACTCGATAGTTGACCACTTAATTTCATACTCACTCTCAAGGCGTAGCATTTCACCGCGCCTTGCACTAGGTGCCGCTCAAGCACAATTTTTAGAACACTTCTTATCACTTGCAGCCAAATTAACTAGTGTAATAGTTCCAATGGTGCTACATCGCAACACCATTTATATATTTATGTATCTCACTTTATAAAATCATTTTAAGAAGTTATTCAAAACAAATATCTATTACGTTTATTGAGAACGACAATGTTCACGTTACTCAATTCAACTTCTTTTTCAACATTAGAGCATCTCTCCACTTGGGTGCCCCTCATCACGCTCTCCAACTGCTTCCTCCCTTCCATTACTATTTCGTGCTCCTTCCGCGGCATCCATCACCTCTCCCTTTACTATCTAGAGGCACTTGAATAGCTTCGTGATCCTTGAAATTCTCTTGAGATCCACAAGAATCAGAGCATTGTAATGGTGCATGAAGGAAAAAGATGGAATGGGACAACAAAAAACACAAAAGGGAACATTTTAAAATGAAGAGTATTTTTATTAAAGCGGTAGAGGGTAGGGTAGGGATTAAGGAAGAAGAGATGAAATAGTTGTGCAGAAGTAGTTAGTTTTAATTGCACAAATAAATAGAATAAGGACTCAAAAGTAACTAATTTGAATTGCAAATATAATATCTTCCTTATTCTTTCATACCTCGAGTGGTAATTTGATATGAATTACGAGATACAATCAATAACAAAGGAAGCACAACTCAAAAATAGACTAGCTTGTATACACAAAATATGATGCACATAATTGGATTCTGTTGACACATAAAAATTCAGCCCAAATCGAACAGCCCAAGGAGTGAAGCCCAATTGGAGGATCCTCAAATCAGATAGCCCAAAGAATGAAGCCCAATCGAACAAATCAAGATGAAGGCCCAAATAAGGAGGCCCAAAAACGCGGTAACGCCATCGCCCAAGTTTGCAAGTCGCCCAAAATCTGAGCGAATGGAGTGTCATACAGTCGCCCAGAGCTGTTACTCTATTCTTGCCCAAACCTTCAAGTCGCCCAAGGTCTTAACAAACATAAAGCGTCGTGGTTATCAAGAAGTGCAGTTATCAAAGCAGTTATTAAAGTAGCCCTATCACGTTCCATGATTCAAGAAATTCAATCGAAAGCGGTTGAACGATGAAAGGTAATGACAGCAGTTAAAAAAGACAGTTTTCATGACAAATTGGCCATTACGAAGAAAGTGGGTAGTTATTGGACGATCAAGCAGTTTTTAGAGCGGTTGATCACAAAGAGATCGTCCATGAAGTATAAAAGGGAGAAAGGACATAGAAGCAAAGGACCGAATCCAAAACCCTCGAACAAAGAACATGTAATTTTCATTTCCTTAGTTTTTAGACTTAAACACTTTTCTTTCAGTAACTCGTGTGTTGCGCCCCTTGGAGGCACGTTGTTTTTTATTTTCAATTGTAAAGTCATCGTCAATAAAAGAACACCCCTTTTTGAGACTTTGTCTCAAAAGATTTGTCCCTTACACAATCGTCTGATCCTTTTTAATTATTAACGACTAACCCGCGCGAAACAGATTCAATTGTCATCACAGTTAGGTTTGCAAATAAATGCTACATGCTACAAGTACAAATGTATATACATACCAATATAACTTCAAATGACAAATAAATTCGCATTTATCATTTTTGAAGGTGTGCAAACATCTCCAAAAGACTACTTATAAAGAACATTGTGTGTAGAGCATCTTATAATTTATAAAGTAAATTGTTTATACACTCCAATAACGTTCTTAATTTTGTGTTTTCAAGAAACATTTATTGATTTTTTCTCATATTTTTAGTAACTCTTGTTTGGTAGGGATTAAAATTAGATTTTTAGTAGATTTTGATAAAATTTGATTAAATATGTTATTGAAAAGTTGTAGATCCCATAAAATATATATATATATATATAACTCCTCGTTCGATTTCAGCAGAATTGTTAACATAAAATGCAGAACAACTCCATGGGGATTTACTTGGACGAATTAACTTCTTCTCAAGTAGATCATTGATTTCCTTGATACAAAAATCAAGTAATTCTTTTTTCATTTGAATAGGACGAGATTTTGTAAGAATGTTTGATTCAAGAAAATCAGAATTGTAAGGAAGAGAAACAATATGTTTCTTCCTATCCCAAAAAGCATTTGGAATTGTTGAACAAATTTCTTCTTCAATTTTCTTTTGTAAGAATGAAATTTGATTTTTGATAGAAGAATCTTCTTCTAATCTTTTTTCAGTTTTTTGAAAAGAAATTTCTTCTTTGAGAAATTGAACATGATTTCTTTTTAAATTAATATTATGAATAATTTTTGAAATTGCAGCTTCCTTTAAAGAATTAACATCTTTATAAGAAGGAGGATTTGAAAATTCAAAGTGAATTTTCTTTCCAAAGATTTTTGTAGTTAATCCTTTATAATCAGCTTTAAAAGGATAAATTTGAACAATAAAAGGAGTGCCAAGAATAACATCTTGATCCAGATCTTTTACCAGATAACAAACATTTTTGAAGCAAATATTTGAATTACAAACATGAGCTTTTGAAATTTTGTAATTAATATTGAGTTTTTTACCACTAGCACCATAAAGGCGTTCAGTAGTTTTCTCAAAATATTTTGTAGGGATAAGTCATTCTTTAATACAATTTTGATCAGCACCTGAATCAATCAAAACACGAGTGGTGAGTTTGAATTCTTTGTTGACTACAATAGTCATATTGCAGTACCATTTCTGAAGTTGAATTCGATTAATAACATTAATCTTCTCTTCTTCAGTTTGAGGAAATTTTGAAGTAGATGAAAAATCAGATGAAGATGATTCAGAATGATGAGAATGATGTGAAGGAGTTTTTGAAGAAACTTTGGATTTTCCTTTGTTTTGAGAATAATATTCGTTAGTTAAGTCTTTTGCTTTGAGACAAACTACTTCCATACGAATATCTTGAACGTGTTTTTCAAGTTTTGAAATTTGAGATTTCATTTCCTTAACTTCAACTTGAAGATCAGGAATTGAAGGTTTAGAACCTTTTGAAAATTCTTTTTGAGCACGACGAAGAATATTAGTAAGATTGATATCATCAAAATTTTCTTTTGATGTAGAGGAAGAAAGCAAAGATGAAAATTTTTCTTTGAGTTTAGGATTGTCAATCCTATCAATGATATTATGAATTATTTCTTCTTCTCCTGTTAAGACATTTATAGTTTTACAACCACAAATTTCTTTATCATTTGAAGAAGTGCAAGAGACAGAATTTTGAGTAGATTCATAATCAAAATCTTCTTGATTGAGAAAGACTTGTTCTAATTCAGAGTTAGACTCATTATCAGAACTAGATTGAATGAGATTGAGAAGCTGAGTTTTAGTATCTTCATCAACTTGAAGAGTACTAATTTTCTCTTTGAGAGGGCATCTATTAGAATAATGACCAGTTTTGTTACATTTCCAACATGTAACTTTTGAATTTTTCTTTTGAAAATCTTTAACAAATTTTCTTTTAGAAAATTGTTTTCTTTTTGAAAATTTCTTTTTATGAAAATTTTCTTCAGGAAAATATTTTCTTTTTGAGAATCGTTTTTTATGAAAGATTTTTCTTGATTTTGAAGAAGGAGGTAAGATTTTCTCAAATCCATATTGTTCGCAGAATGATCTTAACTCATTTTGAGTTTGAGCCTTTTTTGGTTTCAATTTAGATTTAAGTTTTAAATCATTACATAAATTGAGAGCTTCCTTATTGATGAAATTAATAATTTCACCATAAGTAAGATTTTGAAGATCATTGTTTTCTTCTAAAATTGAATTTTTTACTTTTTCAGCAAAAAGTTTTGGAAGTCCTGAAATAAATTTTTCTTTCCAAAAAGATTGTTGACAATCTTCTCTTTGCATGATACGTGTTAAAAACATATCTTTATATCATCGAAAATCTTGAAGTTTTGGACGTCTTAAATTCATAAGA